GGCGCATTTGAATTTTGCCAGTGTTTTCACTAATGTCTCTTTTCTGTTCTAGGAACCAATCTGGGGTAATACATTTAAGTATTTTTATAGATGTAAAAATAGATTTTTACATTTAATTGTATTTACATTAAAATGTATTTTTATAAATGTAAAAATACATTTAAGTACTTTTCTCCATAGTCTCCTCCAACCTATGACAATTCCTGTCTTCCCTTGTCTTCTATGACCTTGACACTTTTGAAGAATACCAGTCATTGTTTATTTTGTTGCTCTGATTGTTCCAGTTTTGTCCATAAGGATTATCTTGGGTTGGCTCTCTGTTCTTTGAACAATTCCCCATCCATTTATGAGCACTTCTTTACTTTTGACACAAGATGTTTCAGGCTCACCTTGCACTTTCCTTGCCCCAGCTCTGGAATCAGGCTGTCGTTCTCCAAGGAACCCTGGTTCTTGTTATGGCTTTTAGAGACCAAGATCTAGGTGTTCAGTATGCTCTTAGATATCTGGTGTCATAACTTCCCTGCCCTTTCAGCAGTTAGAGTTAGGATGCGTGTATTTATAGTCAAGCATATTGCATACTTCTGTAGCTCTGTATCTGGGTGTGTGTGTGTGTGTATTAAAAGCCCTAGTTTACTCTAGTTCCGTGTGTGTATGTGTATTAAAAGCCCTAGTTTACTCTAGTTCCGTGTGTGTGTGTGTGTGTGTGTGTATTAGAAGCCCTAGTTTACTCTGGTTCCCTCTGGTTCCAGTCTAACACTGCAGAGCTCATTTTAGCCTTCCCTTCTTAATATAGAACTTCTTCCTCCTGCCCTGAGAATCCAGCTTTCATTGTCTTTATTTTTACAGCAGCCAAGATACTGTTTCCATTAAATGGTTCTTTCTCCCCACCGCCTACCACTTCCCTGTGGTTTGGTACACCTGTGATATAGTTAGGTTTATTTGTTAGTGCTTGAATTCCACATTGGGTTCCCCTGAAGCTTGGTTGATTTAATGACTATAGTTTTTGAGTGTGTGAAACATTGCTATGGTTTTAACAGTCCAGTGCAAAAAGGCTACCTCGTCCCAGTTCTCCCATTCCCCCTTGCCACCTGCCCTATAAGTAGCCAACATCTGTCATTTCTGGTGTATTTTTGCTGGGTTTCTTTGGTTTTGTACTGTTTTAAACTCAGCAGGTTTATATTAAAGATTGTCCCACATGACATTTAGGGACAGTCTCTCCAACATCCTCCTCTGCAGCCACTTTCTCTGAAAGAGGATGCTGCTGCTGAAAGGTGGGGCTCTTGATGCACAAATTCTAGCAGAAACTTCCTGTGTTTAGTACTTTGATGTTTTTATATTTCAGCTGCTTGGATATAGCTTGGTAACATTAAAAGTTTAACTGATACCTTATTAATGTCTACAAATCAGAACGTGGATAGAAGAGAATGTATGTTTTTCTGCACCATCTTATTCACTCTCCTTTAATACTGGATATTTTAGTCACACTTTAATCACAAATACTACATTATATGTACTCTTGTGGTAAACAAAGAAAACTTCACACATAAAGTCCCCTTATATCTCCATCTCCTAACACAAAACTACTTTTCCTCTCCTTTCAGATTCTTTATACATTTCTAAACATATGTTCCTGTAAGAGGGGAAAAAACTGTTCTAAAAGTAGGAGGTTTTTTGTTGTCTTTTTTTAACATAAAATGCATACTTTATTTTTCTTCAGTTTGCTTTTTCACTCATGTATCTTAAAAATCTATTTATATTGTATAGATAGCCCTGCCCATTGTTTTAACATCTGCAGAGTATTTCTTGGTAACTGTCCCTGTGTGTGACTCAGCACGCACGTGAATACCAAGAAGGGAGTTCTGGGGCTGTGGGGTATGTCCATGCTTCATTATGATCAGCACAGGAAATGTTCCCCCATCCGCGCTGCCAGTTTACCTTTTCCACCAGCATCGTATCAGCATACTCATTTCTTTACTGGGCATCAATAACCTGTATCTCAAATTTTGGGCAGTTGGAAGGTAAGGGGTGATACTCTGTTTTAATTTGCTTTCCTCTGAAATAGGAGTTTGAGTGTCTTTTCATGTAATAATTAGCCTTTTACATTTCCTTTTTTTGTGATTTTTAACTTCCTTCTTTGCCTACTAATTTGCATGAGTTCTTTGTATATGCTGGATTTATTCATTTACCAGCATTTACCATATGCCCAGGTGCTGTGTGGGTGCTGGGGTCATAGCAATAAACAAGGTTTCAAATTTCAGAGAACTTCAAAGCAAGTTAGATCAAAGAAAATCTAAAAAAAATCAACGAGATTATGGAGATGTTAATAAGTGCTATTAAAAAAAATAGGGTAATGGTAGAGATAGTGCCTGAGGGTAAGGACCCCCAGTTTCCCCTTACAGCTTCACTCTCATCAGAGTATGTGCCCTGAGCGGCAGTGGGCAGGGAAGGCTTCTCAGAGAAAGTGGGGTCGGAGCTGATACCTGAGGGATGAGAAGCAGCCAGCTGCAGAAGTGTCCAGAGAGAACCGTGTGTGCCTGGCCTCCCACGAGAGGGACAGGATAGCTGGAGATGAGGACAGGCACCATGGGAGGACACAGCACAGGTGATTGTCAGACCTCTGTTTCAGGATATTTCTTCAGCCACTCCTCCTTTCCTGACCAGGCAAAGTGACCAAAAAGAGCCTTGCTCTGGGGAATTTGTGCATCGAGACTTGATCATTGGGGTTTGTGATTACTTTAAGGCACAGGCTTTTTCTTTAATAAAGGAAAATTTTCTGTTTCAGATTACCTAGGAACAGTACGATTTGGGGTTATCACAAATAAACATCTTGCGAAACTGGTATCCTTAGTACACTCTGGAAGTGTGTATTTACATAGACATTTCAACACATCACTTGTAAGTATTTTGAAATCACGTTTGTATTAGCACAGTGGTTCTTAATTTTTTTTTTAGTCACAGAATTCTTTTGAGAGTTGGATAAAATCCATGGATCCTCTCTCTAGGAAAGTGCACATGATTTTATATGCAAAGTCCTTGAAGGGCTCTTGACTTTAACATCTAGAAATACTTTGTTTTTATTCCTAGATTTTGAAACAGCCTTGTTAGTTTTCCTTCTTGGATGAAATTGCAGAATTACTGTGCTGGAGAATATTCTCAAAGGTTAAGCTTCCACTGGTACCCTTTGTTCATCTGTGCCATTTATCAGGAGGAGCAACGTGATATATGCTTTTCTCCTTAGCTGATGAAATGGATTTTGAAGTTCTTGTCAAGTCACAGTGAGAAGCTGATGGCTTCTCACCCCACAGAGCCTCAGTTTTCCATTGTCATCTTTGTGCCCTAATGTCATTTGCTTTTTGGTGGGCCAAACCCAACTCAGCTATTTCTGAGCTTCTGACCTGTATCCTGATTCATCCTGTGCTTCTGCTGTATTTATTGTTACTTCCTCAGTCCCATCACTGAGAGAGTATTTTTCTTCAGTATTTTCTGTCTCTGACTTCACTGACAGTGTCAGTGACTTCCAGGTCAAGTGAGGACCAGTGTCCCTGGGCCCAGCATACCCAGTCCTTTAAAGCTGTGCTCCCCTTGGCTCAGCGTGCATGTCCATGTCTGATGCCCTCAGGGGCACCGTTAGGCCTCATGCAGGGGGTGCTGCTTCAGGTGCTGGTCAACCTGGCTGCTGCCTATCTCATAGCCCAGAGGTTGTGCTTTACTTCTTGAGTTTATATTCCAAAAGTCAAAGGTATTTTTGTGTTTTCCAAGTAGAAATGTTTACTGTGGTTGTATATTTTTGGGAACTCGTACCAGTCCACTTTGAGAACTGCTGCTGTAGTTTATCTGCTGCCCACCCACTCTCCTGGTCCCTGTCTCAGCTTCTTTGACTTCATCTGCTTTTGCTGTCTGTCACCCTCCTTCACCCTTCTTTTATGGCATGCTATACAACCAACATATATCATATTTACAGAAAAGTGTACTGAAAAGGAAATAGAAAACAGACAGGAGAAGGTAGGGAGGACAATGAGAATGACACTGTAATCATACTGGGTTTATTGTATTGATTCTGTAGTTTTTGAGGTTGGTTGATTGACTTAGCAACAGAATTACTTTTATCAAATGGAATATTACTGGGATACCAGTATTTAAAAAAATAAAAGCAGTCAACATCTTTGTTGTGGGGCAAATTAAATCTCTGTTTGGTGGGGGTATAAAGTACTTCATTTTGTCAAACCCTCCAAAGCACTTTTTTGGGAGTTTCATTTGACACTCAGTGATTAATATTGGAATTTCAAAAGTACTTTATGTTGACATACTTTGGTTATTAGAGAAAAACAAAGCAAAAGATTCTGTCTCTCTCTCTTCCATTCCATACACATAAAGTGTGATCTGTGGTTTTGTTGTTATAAGCTCCAGGTCACTCATGGATCCACTCAAATATTTGTTGAGTTCCTGCTCTGTGCTGGTCGTTGTTCTAGTCACTGGGGATACAAGTGAGCAGAACAGATACTAACTTCTGCCCTAATGGAGGCTCCGCTCTTGTCCTTATGAGCCAACTTTTCAGAGGCCAAGGTAGAAATCTAGATGATCCTTGAGTGCATGATTTCTGTTCCCTTAGATAGTCATTGATCCATTGATTAAAGACCCAGTAATGTTTAATAGCTCCCCTTGGACAAGATGGTTGAGGTCATTGTTGCCAATAGCAGGCAGGGGGAATTATTTGTTGATAGATGAGTCTGTCTAAAGGGAAAATGATGAATCACATGATATGAAAGTCACCTCTTGAAACTGCTGTTGCTTTTTCCAGTCACTTGTGAGGCAATGCCCTATCTGGGGAAGCAGAGCCAGGCTTTAGCTGCACAAACGGGGGCAGGCCATGTCGCTGCTCTGAGCCTCATTTTCCTCAGCAGGGATGTTGGGGGTTGACTGGGACCTCCTGAGGACACTGCTGGTGTGATTTGGTCCTGCCCTGCCTGTTACCCTCTTGTGTATGTGTCCTTCACAGGTCTTTCCAAGGGAGGTCATCAGCTACACAGCTGAGAACATCTATAAGTGGGCCTTAGAGAACCGAGAGATGCTCCTTCGATGGCTGCGGCCACATGGTGGCAAGAGTCTTCTACTGAATAATGAACTGAAGAAAGGACCAGCACTTTTTTTATTTATACCTTTTAATCCCTTAGCTGAAAGTCATCCCTTAATAGATGAGGTAAGTGATAATGTTAAAAAAAAAAAAGGTGCCTCATAAAGAGCAGGAGAACTTCATAAACTTGGCCTCCTCTCATCCCATGTTCAGAGAGTAATTCCCACTAGTAGCTGAGCAGCTGCCGAGAATGGCAGCTGCGTTTCTGTGGCATTACTCCTTGCCCTACGACGGGCAGGAGAGCCTGTGCCTGGGAGAGGATCTGCTCTAGCCTCTCTGGCCACGTTTGCTGACAGCTGCCCCAGATGGGGTGAGTCGAAGGGGACAGGTAAGCCAAACTGTGTCTCTCGAGAAGGACCAGGTGTCCCTTTCCCTCAGTAGCTGGTGTCTGGCAGTGGGACAGAGGAAATGGGCAGCAACACAGGTAGGACTCAGTGTGGCCTCAGAGATGCCATTGCCCTGTGGCTTCCACCCTGGCCATCCTCAGCCCAGGAGATAGGAGCCACAGTGTGACACTGGGATCCTTTGTTTTTCTACGCCTTCCCATCGCACAGATAACCAGGACTGTTTCCAGAGATGACTGCTGGCAGGAGTTAGGCAGCCCTCCTGCGTTTTCTGCTGCATCTGGTGTACTCTGTGTGTGAGTTTATTTTATACACGGATCGTTTGGAGGCACTTAGAGCAATAACAATCAGCAGAGAGTGCCTGCGATTGCTAAATTGAATTTACTGGGGTTTTTATTTTTTCCTTCCCTCAAGGATCCCTTAATTGGCCAAAACCAATTTCAGACCGTCAGTGTACCACTGGCCGGGGCTAAGCAGATTCTGCCTCCTCCCAAGTCCCTCCACGTGAGCCTGATGGTCTGCCTGGAGGGAGCTCTGCCTGGAGGGAGCGGGGAGGCAGGACTCTTGCCCAGCCAGACCCCTCTCTTTGCTAGCCTCTCTGCGCATTATTATCCCTGCTGAGACATTTGAATAAATGCTGCTGAGCTCTAGCTGAGAGGAAGAAGGAAGGAGAGAGATGTGAAATAGCTTTGTTTCTTCTCTGATTAGGGAGGGCTTGAAGTAATAAGACTTAATTTCTTTACAAAACCTTCACTACACAGATATTTTATGAACTAAGACGTTCTTCCAAGTTGCTAGGCTTTTACTGCATCTAATATTAGGAGCCCTAAAGCTCTGTATGGAAAGGTGGGATTTTCAGCCAAGGTTGAAATGGTTGTGGATTTTTAAGTTTTAATAGTTTCCTTCTGGAGATTCTCTCTTGTCTGGTTTGGGCATGTCAGGGTCCTGGGTGAGTGGTGTTTGGACTGGAGCCCAGTTCCTCTGTTCAGGGGGTCATGCTTAGAACTGGACACCTAATACCTCCATCTATGGTGAGGCCTTTTTACCGTGGATTTGCCTGTGGCTTATCGTGTCCCCACAAGATGAATGGTTTTTCTTAACCTCAGCATATGATTGAAGTTGCTGAAAACCGGATAGTGTCTTCAGTATTGTAGGTTACTTAGCTAAGTAAAGTGTTCTGTGCAGTACATTTCCCTCTTTATTTCAGGTCAGCTTAGCAAATGTTTATTGGGCACTGTGCCATGGAGTCATGGGGGAGAAAGATGGAGAAGACACAGCCTTGGTCTCCATCTTGGAGGCTTGTCTGGTAGGGGACCAGGAGCCTGCTTATTATTCAAGGTAGAGGAAGGTCAGCCCCAGGCCCTGGTAAGCAAAGGCATGGTTATCTTGTTCAGACTCAGGTACCTCTGATGAAAGAAAATGGAAGGATGCATTTACAGTGCAAACATTTGAAGTTATTTGTCAAATAACATTTTCCTTATTAGTTCACATGAAATATGACATCATGGTAATTCACATACAGGATACAACTGGAGTTGGATTTGCAAAACTGAAAACTATTATGTAAAACTGAAAACTGGTTCAATTTATAGGAGAAAAATAAGAATTCCTCACTCTTCAAGATCAATACTCTATACAACACATTTTCTTAAATTAAAAATACCCTTTACACTGCTGTTTCATGAGAGATATTAAGAATGAAAGAGGTTAAGAAAGAAGACCTTTTTTTTTTTTTTTTTTTTGAGAGGGCATCTCATGTTTATTGATCAAATGGTTGTTAACAACAATAAAATTCAGTATAGGGGGGTCAGTGCTCAATGTACAATCATTAATCCATCTCAAGCCTAATTCTCGTCAGTCTCCAATCTTCTGAAGCATAACGAACAAGTTCTTACATGGTGAACGAATTCTTACATAGTGAATAAATTCTTACATGGTGAACAGTACAAGGGCATTCACCACAGAAACTTTCGGTTTTGATCACGCATTATGACCTATAAACAATCAGGTCAAATATGAATATTCATTTGATTTTTGTACTTGATTTATATGTTGATCCCACATTTCTCCCTCTATTATTATTATTATTTTTATTTTTAATAAAATGCTGAAGTGGTAGGTAGATGCAAGATAAAGGTAGAAAACATAGTTTAGTGCTGTAAGAGGGCAAATGTAGATAAGAAAGAAGACCTTTTAAGGAATTCTGCCATCCTTAATATAACCCTACTTGGACTTTTTTTGTAAAAGACTATAATAAATACTTGAATTTTTGTAGAATTTTGGGGACGGGGAGGGGTGTGGGTGAGAGTGGTAATCTACTGTGTCTTTGAATGTAAAGCAATGCCAAGATGAGACCAGTGGGCAGCTAGGCTCTTTATGGATTATATAGGCTCGACCTTATTAGTATAATGGGCTGTCAGAGCCTTCTCCACAAAGGGCTGGGATGTTTCTGTGTGGGGGAAGAAAACAAAACACTGGTTTGTCATCTGAAGTGGTCTTTTTTATGCCCAAGAACTGTTCAATTAATTTTCTTATACAAATGTATATGTCATGAAGTAATTCTATAAATACCATGTTATAAAATTAAGGTTTTTTGTAATTAGAAAAGCACTTATTAAGTGGGTTTACACACATACTTTAGTGAAACAGAACCCTGAGTGACTTAACACCTTTTAGCTAACTGGCAGGATTTGATCCACATTGGTGTTTAATTTTACTTTAGAGAGTGAATGCCTTTGGATTGTAGTAACTTGTCTTTCTCTTGAAACTGGGTGTGGTAGGTGGTGAAAAATATTCAGCTTGGGAATGGAAGAATCTTGGAATGAAATGTTAATCTAATTGGCCTAATGCTGATCAGAGGGTAAAGCAGTTAATCTCTGAGAAGTGCGAGTGTGTACATTACCTTGAAATGCCATTTATTCACCAGGTGTTCATTGAGCATTTGCTATGTGCTGGGCTCTGTGCCAGGCTCTGGGGCTATCAGGGTAAATCAAACGTGGTCCCTACCTGTGAGGATCCATAAGCTTGTAGGGAAGAGGGGCATTTTAACAGACACTGTGAGACTTTCTCCAGAGGGCTTCGGGGACCCTGATGATGCAGAACCTGATTCTACCTGGGGTGAGGGTGGGGTTAGCTTTAGTGAACAGTATAGAGGGACAGTATAGAGGTTCATCAGATGGAGGAGGTCCTGGTCAGGACTCAAAAGGTGTGACATTGTGAGAGAGCTTGGCCTGGTCTAAAGAGGATGGGGTGACATTGGAAAGACCAACTCAGGCCAGACTGGGTTAGATTTCAGCCTCCAGATAATAGGGAGCCATTGAATGTCACCTGACAGAGGAGTCTCCTGCTTAGTGTTGTCTTTTTAAAAAATAAGTGGTGGCAGTGTGGAGGCTCACTTAAGGGAGGGGAGAGAAAGTGGTGGTGGCTTGTGATGACCAAAGGCATGAATTGTGGCAGTGGCTGTGGGACTACAAAGGGCCTGCTTTGTGGCTGGATTTGAGGCTCGCCTGGGTGCTGAGGTGAAATGGAGGGCTGACAGGTTTTTCCGGTTTGGTGATGCCGTTTTCCCAGAGAGAGAGGTACAGCGGGAGGGGAGGTTACGCAGGAAGACTAGGTGGAGAGTATGGTTTGGAACAGGTTGAACTTGTAGTCTCCTATGAGGCATTCATTTGGAAATACATATACCATGAAATACTTTGATCTACATGCTAGGTTTTTGGGAAGTTTATAGACTGTTAGTTAAAATAAAAAAAGAAGACATCATATGGAGAACTTTTAAAGATGTGAAGTAAAGTGCACTCAACTGTCAGTTGATTTAAATTCGTTCCAGGTTCTTCAGTGACCTGGGCATATGTGGTCAGGTGAGCCATCTCACTCACACCCCTCTCCTGTGCTTCCGTCCTTCCATGGTACACTAAGGCGTCTGCCTCTAAGACTGCTTCCATCTCTAAACTGTTGGTTCATTATTTGTTAGTAGAATGAGACATTCTGAGAAGTAAGCCAAGGCTCTTCACTAATAGCTTTTGGCATCGTGGCTTCTTGTCTGATGCCATGCTTACAGCCAGGTGCCTCCTGGTGATTGGGACTGGTGTGCTTTCCCAGCAGCTGTGGGGCACTCCCTCAGTACCCCCAGCTCTCATGAGCTCTGCCCTGTGTTGCAGATCACCGAAGTGGCCTTGGAGTACAACAACTGTCATGGGGACCAGGTGGTGGAGCGACTCCTTCAGCACCTGCGGCGAGTGGACGCCCCAGCGTTCAAGTCTCTGGCACCCGAGCCCCCAGCCCAGCTGCCGGACCCACCGCTGATAACAGTGTCTCCCTGCTGCAACACTGTGGTGCTGCCCCAGTGGCACGCCATCTCCAGGACCCACAATGTCTGTGAACTGTGTGTCAACCAGACCGCAGGGGGCATCAGGCCGAGCTCGCTTGGCATGCCGCAGTGCAGCTTTTTCGAGATGGCAGCAGCTCTGGATTCTTTCTACCTCAAGGAGCAGACCTTTTATCATGTGGTATCAGACAGCATAGAATGCAGCAATTTCCTAAGTTCCTATAGCCCTTTCAGCTACTACACTGCATGTTGCAGGACCATAAACAGGGCTGGGCTGGGCTTCATTGATTCTGAACAAGGTGTCTTTGGAGCCCCAACCATGGCATTTTCTTCCTTTGAGAAGAAATGTGAGGTTGATAAGCCAAGCTCCGTTCCTCACATTGAGGAGAACAGGTGTCTCTTCCCTGAAGTGGACATGAATAGCACAGACTTCACAGGCTTGAGCTGCAGAACCAACAAGACCCTGAACATCTACCTTTTGGATTCAAATTTATTTTGGTTATATGCAGAGAGGCTGGGCGCTCCCAGCACCGCTCCGGTGAAAGAATTTGCTGCCATTGTCGATATAAAGGAAGAGTCTCACTATATCCTGGATCCCACCCAAGCTCTTATGAAGTTCACCCTAGGTACTGTAGGCAGTGTACTTGCCCAAGCCTAATAAGTCGTGCTGAACTTAACACAGGGAACTTGTGTTTTGCGATCTCATTACATTTTGTTGTGGCAGTGATGTCAGCTCTTTAGCTCATTTGAAATCTTTGGACTGCAATTGGTCCTGATTTTAAAAGAAGCTAATTTTGTCTATTAAATGGATCAGAAACTTTCTGACTTCAGATTTTGGATTAGTTTGTCATTTAGCCCTCTCTGGGTAAGAGTCCAGAGTTCCAGATGGGCAGTGCCTGTCGTGTTCCCAAGATAGAGTAAGCTGCAGTCAGGGGGGGACCGGCCACTGCCGGGCAGGGTTGTGGAGCACATCCTGGGGGCAGATGGATATGAACCTGAACAGCAGCTTCGTTCTAAAGGAACCTAAACAGAAGGCAATGAAAGAATAGAACTGCCTCCTCTCTTTTTGTCTCACAGATTTGAATGTATAAATATCAAAACCACTAGACCTAATTTGTTCTGCTGCTGTTCCATAGCTTGTTGAGGAATGCTGCCATGACCGCGGATGCCTAGACTGTAGTAGCAAACAGATGTCAGGTGCAGTCAACAGGTGTCTGGCAGAAACCACTTTTTGGGGGCTAAGGCCCCTTTATGGGAACACGTCAGAGAGCTTGCCCTTGGGGCTTGATAGCGTCTGTGAACTGCTCCACACTGTCCTGTTCCCAGGACTTTGCTGACATCCTTGATGTATGTACAAGGAAGTGAGAATTCAAAAGCCATGTTAGTTCAGCCTCAGTGGAAACACGGGGAAAGTTAGTGTTTGCCAAATGGAGACAGGAGGAATTTGGTGAGGGGCAGGGGAACCTTTTAATTTCAAGTTTTAGAGAATCTGAAAATAAGAGTTAACTCAGAACCTGAAAATAATAGTCCTTTCAGCGGTCTTCTTTTAAGTCGAGGTGAGGTTTGTTTCCTTCATTAGACATGTATGAAAAGGCTTGTGTAAATGTTGATTTTTTTCTATATCAAATTATACATTATAAACATGAAGGCTCCTGAGGATTTAAAGGACCCCTATGACCACTTATGAAGTGCATACTCTATTGATACTACAAATTGCTCATAATTCATGTTTTCCATTTACATTTGCTGTGTTGCGTTTTCTTAAAATGAAACAAGTCTGTATTGTTAATTCTGTTCAGTAATCCTCAAGCATTCAATGAGCTCATAATGTGTTCACATTGAACCTAAGGGTAATTTCGGGGAAGCCTTCTTCAGATTTTCCATGTTCCAAATCTGCTCTGAAACATCTCTGTAGCTCAGCTGTTGTTCGTCCTGTAGTTGGTGACAAAATGTGTAAAGGTCCTGATAAAAAAAAAATCTGTGTGTCATTGTTGGTTTGGAGAGTGAACTCTTACATCAGCTGTCTCTGGGACAGTTTCAGAATTTAGGTTTCATTCAGACTAGGAAATAATTTTTGGTTTTATGTTTCAGAAACCACAGAGCCAACTAAATGTTATTCAGATGCTGATAATGAGTTCTCTTTAGTATTCACATGCCATTCTTCACTTCCTCCTCCCTCTGCAGAACATTTCATTGTTCATTAGGACCTCAAAAAGGAGGGAGTTAGAAGAAAGAAAAAGAAGTGAAACTCAGATTAGTGCTGCTTCATATGATACAAAGGAGTCTGAAGACAGTGGAGTTTTTGGAGAGGGTAAAACTTGGCTCAGTTAGGTTTTTGGATTATTTATGGGTTTATTTATGTGTTTCTCCATTAAATATAATTGAATTTATTTTTCTTAACATTTTAAGAAAGAAATTTGAAGAATATGAATAAAGGAAACCAAAACCCTAGTTCCTTGTCCTCAAATTAATGAGTATTAAACATCTTCCACATTACAGTAGCTTATATAATAACTGCATTTGCAGGCATGCTTGAAGGTCTTAGTATTGTATTATAGGTTGAAACCTCTCAAAGAGTGTGGCATGTTAATCTATGCAGTCTCAGGTGTCTCTGTAGACCAGCCCTGTTAGAAAAAAGCAGAATTCCTAGTCCATGAACATAAGTGCCTCTAATACTGCATAGTGTTCTGTTATCTAAATTCCTGTCTGCTGAGTTAATAGTACCAGACCCAAAGCTGCTGCCACCCTGGGCAGCTCTGGTCAGGGTTTTGCCTGTAGATGAAGTATTAAAAATGTGAGCCTGGTGAAGCCATCTAAGCTTTTTTTTTTTAATTTTGGTATCATTAATCTACAATTACATGAGGAACATTATGTTTATTAGATTCCCCCCATCACCAAGTTCCCTACACATACCCCACTACAGTCACTGTTCATCAGCATAGTAAGATGCTGTAGAATCACTACTTGTCTTCTCTGTGTTGTACAGCCCTCCCTGTGCACCCCCCAACATTAGACATGCTAATCATAATGCCCCCTTTCTTCCTCCCCCCACTTATCCCTCCCTTCCCACCCATCCTCCCCAGTCCCTTTCCCTTTGGTAACTGTTAGTCTATTCTTGGGTTCTGTGAGTCTGCTGCTGTTTTGCTCCTTCAGTTTTTTCTTTGTTCTTATACTCCACAGATGAGTGAAATCATTTGGTACTTGTCTTTCTCTGCCTGGCTTACTTCACTGAGCATAACACCCTCTAGCTCCATCCATGTTGTTGCAAATGGTAGGATTTGTTTTCTTCTTATGGCTGAATAATATTCCATTGTGTATATGTACCACATCTTCTTTATCCATTCATCTACTG